GTTTTTTTTTTTTTTTTTTTTTTTTAACTCTAATAATACGCCGAAACGTTTGTAGACGACTTTAAACGTATAAAAACATCATAATAATTATACTATATTGTTGTATTAATTATTAACGCGATCATGACGACGCTAATGGTACCTACGCCAGTAAGTATCAGCAACTGTAGAAAAAGAAAAAAAGAAAACCGTATTAAGATCTTATTAATAACGTAGTTATTAATTTATGTACAATGCTTTCGTTGGACTTGTACACGGTTATTCGGGTTCGGGGATCTGAACGAAACTGGGAAAATTTTATGATTTTATTGCGATGTATTTCTTTGGTTTTGTAAACAATTTTTCTACCGCAAATCTCGCTTCGATAAAAATATAATAGGAACTAACTTGTAGCGTTTTTTATTCAGTTGCGGCGATGCATTAACGAGGTCATATTTCGATTTTCCTTGTGGCTTTCCTAATAAATAAGTAAAAACTGGACATTTTTTGTAAAATTTTTGTTGATTTACCGGTCACCTTGACGACAACAATTATATTGACCCATACTTGGATTTTGTTTTCTGTGCAATTATGTTTAGATAATTATAATATTTCATGTATTGCAGCATTTACCGTTGATATTGTTCACTTATTAAAGTCCTGGCAAGCGATTTTCAATTTTTTTGTGATCTACATTCTTTTAAAATATATAGATTATTCATATGCGTAATTTGTATGGGATTTAAAAAATACCGCAATCAAAATAAAATATTTAGAATTCATATTTCCGTAATTGATTACACTCTTATACTTTTAACGGACATAAAAAAACCACGTTATAAACATTTTTTATTATTAATTTCAATAACACCTACATTATAAACTAATAAAGGAAAATTGCCGTATTATTAAAAACAATCAAGCACATCTCCCTCTCCCCCGTCGGTTCGTTTTTCCGTCCGTCTTATCGCGTTTACTGCATTAGGTTCTCTCTTAAAGCTAATCTTCCGGTGGCTCTTACGAAACAAACGCATCAGCCCGCGACATTAGCGCGCTGCTCCTGTTACGACCCCCCCCGACCGCGTAACATAATTTGACGAGTAGACGTATTTATAGGTAAATACACCTATAATATTATATTTTAACACAAACAGTAACAACGTTATACTAGCGCTCGTAACGGCGAGGATCGGCGTGTCAAACAATTTTTATAATGTATTCAAAGATTTTTGAGAATATAATATTGAGATCACTCAGTGAATAATTATTAATCAATTACACTAACAAAGCGCACCTGTTTATCAAATATTTTACTATTATTATTATCATTATTATTGTTATTGGCGGCCGGGTCGAAACATTATAAATATATTATTACGTTCAATCGTGAGAACGGTGTGGGGGATCGGATCAAGTGGAAGTTTAGGATGCGACGGCGGCCGATCTCCCAAACTGTTGGGACGAAGGCGAAGGACAAGAATAAAGAAGAATTGTGTGTGTATACTGTATAATATATATATACACACACGAAAAAAAAAAAAAAAATACTCTTAACAAAATCATACTGAACAGTTCTATAGAGCGGAGCAGTTAAAATTATATTTTTCCCGTACGTATGATTTTTATTGTTTTTGGAAACATTAAAATGTTTTGCAATACTCAGCGCGGCGTGTCGTGCAGAAAAAAAAAAGAAACAATTATAATGTGTACGTACACATCTTTTAAGATAATATTATTATTATAGCGTACGAGTATGTATAATGTTATTAAAACGATATAAACTCGTAAAAAAATATATCACAGACTATAGTGACTATAAAAAAAATAAATAATAAAAAAAAAAAAAAAAAAAAAAAAAAAAAAAACCGCTATCTACACGAGCAGATAATCATATTATGAGCTTAGAAGTTATGACGATATCAGCTATAATATATATGTGTAATACTGTTAACATTTTAATTGGTTATTCCGAATGTAGGAAATCGTTTTAGATATTTATTATTCGCAGTGGATATAGCTATAAACCAACGCGTCTGTTATTGTATTGTGAAGGATATTTGTTTGGGTCTAAAAAAAAAAAAAAAAACGTGTTATAATATACAGTTGCGTCTTATGGTTTTTCATAAATTGGGGCACTAGGTTGTAGGTGTTAACGCGAAAGAGTGAAAACTCAGTGGCGTTATCACGAGAAAGCATAGTCCCCCGTCCGCTTAGCCTTTTTTTTTTTCTCAACGCAGTTTTCATATTATGTACTTAATACTGCTATTGATGCATTAAATGTGTATACAAATGCCATGAGGATTAATATCTTAATATTATTAATATTGTTTTTTTATTTTTTTTTTTTTTGAGACAGAACAACTTTTATAATAAGCGAACTGTCTGTCTATCAGATTGTCTATAGTGACACAGTGTACTTATCAGACTTTCGGTTAGACAAGGTATTATGTATAATGCCCGTATCGGCTACTACGCCAGAACTCATGTTTTTCATTTGAAATAAAATCAAAACCTATTTGCGGAATACGATATCAGAGGTGTATTTATAGTTGAAAATTAGGACAGTACACAAACATTACGTATGTTACGTACACCTAATAACTATAAAATATGCTGTGGCCGTTTAAATCGATCGAATGGATTGGCTATACTGACAATCAATAACTATTTACCGATAGATCCAGAGGATGTACTGAACGGAAGCCGTTTCGGCTATGAAACCATAAAAAATAAATCCGTTATTATAAATTGTAATATGATTTGTTTGTTTTCGTAATTTAGAATTCTATCCACCAATTGGCTCGTTTAAGTGTAAGAAAATATTATACTTTTGATCAGCTGTTTTTTTTTTCTTTTCTAAACCCTACCTCCGGCCTGAAAATAAGTCTGAGCCAATAGTTTCGTGTATTCTCGCTTCTATACAATCTCCAAAAAACGGTCTATCCCTTCCCCCGCCTTGAAACCTAACTTAAATTATGTCACCGCACTAAATTCTAGCGGTATCGGGTTTGAACCAACTGGTAGGTTATTTTTTGTAGAACTCCTAAAACGTTCTAAAACCAACTCGCATATTACGTTTCGGCCTGGGCCGAACTCGGATAGGGTCTGTAAATACGATAGTGAATAATACCGTATACAGGCTATTCAGAGTAAAATGATGGATACAACGAAGTTGTTTTTGGTAAAAGTTGTAATGATTCAATATAATGTAATGTCAAACAGTTAACAATTTCTTCATACTGAAAATTTATAACTTATTAGGTACCTATATACACATCACATAATATTTTTGTTCGTTTTTCAGTGAAACAGTTTAAACTATACTTACTCTGAAAAAAATGTATGTGCGTGTATGTTTGCATGTATATTTCGTGCATTTAGAGAAAATACAATTTTACCATGGCTTTTTTTTTTTTCTTTGGGTATTATATTATATACTTTCGGCGGCACGGGGAAAATACTCACAAAGTTTCACTTAGTTATAATATTTTGTAGCTAAATTATTATAAAAACCTGCACGGAATTTTTATTTTGAAAACTCCTAAACTGTTTAAAAACTTTTTTTAAAAGCGACAAAGTTCCGAGTTACATATATTTGTATTTGTATGTTTAATTTTTTTTTTATTTTTTAGGACCGTCGTTTTAAATAATATTTTGTGAACTTTCCTCGTTAAATCATTTCTGAAATGAAATAACTATTCATTATTGCGGGGTTACATTTTTAAAATCGATGTTCTTCCGTTCCCATAAAATAAAAATTCTTGTTATTTTTTAGGGTGCAATGATATTTTTTTGTGTGGTAAGTCGTATGTTTTAAGGGATTGAGAAACATCTTAAAAAACTACCGTTAAAAAGTTAAAATAAAACTATCGACTTACACAAATCAAACATATTTTATTGCATATTGTTATAATAACATACGAGTATTTTAACATATTACAAAAAGGTGATCCATTTAAGTGAGTAAACTCAATATAACGGAAAGTATTAACATTATTCAAACGATTTTTTTTTTTAACAATTTAAGAAATAAACTTATTAAATTGGCAGTTAGTCTTCATAGATTTTTGTATTGAAATAATTGATTTTCATCACCCCGTTGACGAGATATTCTACTTTTAAGTTTGGGCAGTGATAGAGTATAATGGAGCAGCTGTTTGTGTGCTAGCACGGCGCTAGGTGTTTTAATAATGCTCAACAAAAATTCCAACACCAAAATTTATTTAAATTTATACTCCATGCATTTATGGAATTTTCAATTTAGACAGACGTGTAAAAATCAAAAGTTTCACGCCGACTATCAAGCAGTTTCATCCCCAGAGAGAAATATACCTACCTTATTATTATCATTATAATAATTGAAATTCATTCGACGATATTTCTAATGTTTTTTTTTCTGATAAATGTTTATTTTAAAAATTTGGAACAGACGTAGAAATGACATTTTAAGTACAACGGTTTTATCGTACAATAATTTTTGTGTTTTAGCTTTTTTAATCGGTAGATTGGTCGATACGCATATTAGTTCCTTCATTTTTATCTATCCATAGCGATGAGTTTCTTTAGCTCCTCGTCGAACGATTCTTTTGCTATAATACATATCCAACGTAATTTGTTTCTTAAATATTATTGATCTTCTTGGTCTTGATTTCTCCCCTCGGTTTTCCATCGATTTACCTTTTGTTTTCCGTAATAGTTGTCCATGCATATTAGGGTGGTTATAAAATAAATTAAATATTTAGTATTTTATAATATTTCTTGAAAAATAATAGATTTCTGGGAAATTGTATAAATCTATTTTTTATCGACAATATATACATCTATAACTGACCTAATATACATTTCTTGATAAATGCAATATTTGTTTAAAATTAAATTCAAAAATTGACATAACAACCCTATTTTGGAATTATTTCAACCCCTTTGTGGCACGTGAACGGGTCGCGTAGTCGTGACCGAATTTTACGGAAATTACTTTTTTTATGGTAATAAACGAAATGAAAGAGTAGGATATTAAAAATTTGAAAGTTTAAAAGTAAGGACCGTCCTAATATGTATCTTGTCCGTTTGCGAGATTTCCCATCCGTTTGTTCATATTGTTTTCCGCGATTTGTTTTCTACGTGTGTAACACTGTTATAATATCGTTCGTCCGACGGTGCATTGGAAAGTTTATTCATTTGACACCCTCGAGTGAAGATTTTCCATAACGATAGTAATAATATAAAAAAACCCTACGGGAATACGTTATCAAAGTCGGTTATCAAATTACTATATTGCTGCTAACGAGACAGAAACTCAACCGTTTGATATTAAGAATAATATACTATTATCGTACCGTCTTCGTCGAAGGTACATGGTATTACACCGTGCATAAACTGATATAAACCCAATATAATAACCGTCGTGAATAACTGCCGGAGAAGTCAAAATAAATATTAAATTGCGGTCTATGTGCTCTAAAGTCTAAATCCTTTAAACTCGATAAATATCAATTACACCGAATAGTACGTGGCTTTGTAATAATAATGTGTACTTGGGAGCCGCGCGTTGATAGGGAAGTTGAAAACAACGACTGTACCAATACGCCTAGGTACACCGTATACGATTATGCGTACCGATTAACGTTTGAATCCGAGGTCCGAAACCACTCCGGGGTGTTTGAATTGCGTCCGTAGCGTTCGGGTCCGTTGATTTGATTCCGATCGGTTCTCGAATCGAATCCGCGCAGTGTACATCCTCGCAAAACTCCCCGCGGTAACACAATGTCACAACGACCCGGAACTGGAATTTTCTCGCGTTTACCGAAACAGGCAACACTATAAACACATGCGGCGTCGTGTTTTCTGGCTACTGAAGCGTGACCGGTAATTGCGGAACTACCGAAAATCGACAATTAAAAATTGGAAACAATCCGACGTTAATTGATTTTCGCCGTGCGCAACGCACGGAAATAACGTGTCGATTTTGTTTTGGGTGCTTACCGTTTCTGTTTCTCGATTACCGCCAAATGGTAAAATAGTAGCTTGTCGACTTACCGTTTTCCGATACGTTTCCCGTGCGGTTTTCTAAACAATAACTAATTAACTGCAAAACATAAAGGTTTCTGTAATCGTTTTTGCATTATTGAAACGGAAAAAAAAATCGGTACGCAATACTACTATAATACGTAATGTATATTAAATCCGGTTTTAAATATTAAAACAATATTAAGTAAAACGTTACGATAAAAAAGACGGACGAACTTCGCAAAACGGGTGGGCCGCTATTGTATGTGAGCAAGTTAGAAAAGTAGAATATAAAGGGGAATTTAACGCGCATTTGTACGCAACGATTAATCAATTGGTAACGAAAAATGTTTCTGAGTAGAGTCCGATTATGCATGCATTAAAAGGCTGTGATATTTACGGTATTCGTCAATATCTGATATTAAAATTCTTATAAAAAAAAAATTATTCTGTATTACACTATGTTTTTCTCTTTTGACCACGAATTATGGCTTATAATGAACCTCTTGTAAAATGTTCAAGCATTTCTGTTTGGTCTAACAATTTCAACTACAGAGTACCTAGAGAACGAAAATACGTAAAAAAAAAAACTCGTACAATTAATATATATTTAAATATTTTATGTATTTTGATATTTATACGTGGTCGACATGGCACCAATGAGTTCCAAGAGGTTGAGTTCAATTTTAATTATCTCAAACGATTTGTATTAGAATACGATAATAATAAAATACGCATTATTACACAAAATTGCATGTACAGCAAACAAATAGGTATACAAAATAGAAAAAAATGTAATAATACAACAATTTTTGGATTTATAAGCTTCTAAAATAAATTATATATATTTTTTTAAGGGTTATTTTTTGTTTGGAGGGGGAGGAGGTATCGGGATCAACTTTTGAAATTCAAATGTGTTCCTATATTTGAGATTGAAATACACGCAAATAGACGCTGTATTAGTTTAAATTAATTTCGGCGTTGAAATTTTCGATTTCCGTCTACTCATTAACGAAATCTTTCCCTTTTTAGTTCAAGTACGGGGAGAGTAGTTAAAACACATTGCACTTGTGTAGTGGCACGGTACGGCGCGCGGTGTTTGAATAAATATAATATACTCATATCCTACACACGGAATAAACTGTACCCAAAACCCTGTTTGGCTAGTGAGACGAATTACCCCTCGCATTTACGCATGAATACTAATTTACATTTTAGGTAACAATATTATGTGTGGACAAATAAGTGGCTCCCAAATATGAGGTGACGGGATTTTTTCGGTTTACAAAAATCCTTCAAAATAATAATATTATTATATTCGGACGTGTGTTTTAATTATTTGGAAAACAACCGAGACGGGAAGTCAGATTCATTTTACAAATTGCACATGACACGATAATATCTATTATCCATCAATCATAATGTACACGGTTATTATAATATAATTATTATGTGATACTCACGAGATACGAATATAATATTTCTGATTATGGTAAACTAATAATATTAATATACACCTACGTTTTCGACTACTGGAATGCGTGAAGGATATTTTTTTTTTCCCTCCCGGACATTTCAACGCATTTGTAGTGATTTGCTTACGTCGGGAATACGTGCAGGGATAACGTAAAATGATCGCACGGAACCCAACACCACAATTTAATAGTATTATCATTATAACTGCAGATGATACACATTGCCATCACAGGCAGCGACGTATGGATTGGTTATAGAGTGGGTTTACAGTTATAGACTTGTTATTATCGGTTAACTGAAAATACGAGTAAAACAAATATAGTATACGATTTATTTATTTGTAAAATATAGTCTTTTTCACTCGGACATCCACTGTATGCATATGTACCGTATGGTGATATTATACGTTTTTAAAAGGAATAATGGTTTTTTAGTTTTTTTTTTTTTTTAATTTGCTTTTAGATTCTGAGCTGAGCAAAGAATGTATCGGTTTTGCAGTGATGTTTATTTTTATTTTTACTTTTTTTATGTGAACACTTTTTCTGCCGGAAAGCATATTCCGATTATCAAGTATAGCACCTTTTCTGAAAGTAAACGTTCTCTGGGTGATACTTTAAAAAGGTTATTTTTTGAAATCCCCATTAATATTTGAGATAATGAGGAAAACCTTGGTGTTTAGGTTAAAAAAGATTAAAAATAAAGTTGTCATTGGCAACCGTTTGTATTTATTTTTTGTTATAATTAAAATTTTATTTATTTAATCTTTTTTAAACAATCATTATTGTTATGGAAACGCGCATAGTAATTATTTTACCGTAATATGATAAATACCATATATTGTATTGTTGCCAAAGCAACACTGTCAACTGAACTCCGCTCAGAATCGTTTTATCGTTGCTTTCAGATATACATTAAATACCCTTCTGTATCTTACCTTCCCCACTTTTTACCTACAACAATAGCTACATACACGTTTTTTGAGAGATAAAAGATAATTAACTTAATATAACTCATTAAATTTAATATTACGATAAGCGCAGAGCGATAGTTCATGTGTGCGTCGGACAGCTGTCGCAATGGTACTTCTTGGTTATTTAGAGGTCAAATTTTGCATACCATATTAGTGTACCTAAACTGTACGGACCAACAGGTAACTAGTAAAAAAATACAAATTAAAAAATTCCGTATACATATAATAAAAAAAAAAAAAAACAAAAATGCGCACGTATTATTTTTTAATGTGAAAAATAATTAATAACGCGAACGAGAATCATATGAAGGTCCAATATTAATTAAAATCGTATTAATTAACATCGGTAAACATATAAACCTACTCGTATACTATATACTTAAATAAGTAAAACAAATTATATGTATACCTAAAATAATAAAATACACCGAAAGTTGTTTTCGCCGGTGATAGAAAATCCTATAAATACACGTTTTTAACGGTGTACAATGGTAGAGTGTGATTTATTTTTACGGCGATAACTGAAAAATCGTGCACAACATATTTCTGTTATTTAATTATGGAATGTATTTACCGCCCCCTTTCACATGATCTTTAAATATATATAGATAAATGATAACGAACGTAAATTATGCCCAGAACACCTATTTCACCCGTTTAACACTCATTATCTCAGAAGGTGTTGATATATTTTCAACTTTTTTTTTCTACATACACAAACCGTTTTTGATTTTCAAATAGAAATTTATAAAAAAAATAACATTTTTGTTTAAATATATTTTGGTGTTCAAATTACAGTTTTATGTTTGGGATTTCGGGAGAGTAGGGGAGCATCTGTTGTGTAGTGCCGCCGTGGCACAAGGCGTTTGAATAGTGTTCCACTACACTCCCGAACCCGAACATAAAAGTGAAAAATCTCATCAACGAAAATTAAAAATTACATCTATTTATGGAATTCTTAATTTAGGTTTCACCTGCCCCCCCAAAAAATAAGGACGACAAAAAATAACAGAAATTTAACATTTTAAAGATGCTCGTGTGTTTCTTGAATTACCCGAAATGAAAAAAATCAATACCCAAGATAACGAACGACTTTTTCAATAATTTTCAAGTCTACATACTATAGACTGCTAATCAGTTAAAAAAATTGAAGTGGGGATTTTCTGATCTTTTGTTCTTACATCACGCCATACTTTAGGCTCTGGTTTAATATATTTCTTGGCGTGTACGATCACTGCAACAGTATTGGTTATAAATCGCAATACGAGCGTTTCGTAATATTTGTATGATATTCATGACCCACACCAAAGTGCAGACTGCTACAGTTATTATATACGCGAAGATATGCGTTGAGGTTTTAACGAGTGCAAACCGAAGAGTCACAAAGTGCGTTAGCGGAACAGACTCAGGGTCCACAATATTGTTGTGGTAAAATGATAACACTGCTTTATCTCCGTGTCTTTGTTACTCTTGTTACCATGGTATCATATTATTACGTTTTAAATCCTCAAGTACGGAATAATATAAAGTACGCAGCGATAAGGTAGTATAATCCCCACAAAGAGGGCGAAAAATGTTTTCGTCGGATATTATAATGCCACATCAGCTGTGGCCCGAAACGTATGTGCAGTTATCATCGTCCGAGCAAAAGATTCGGTGTGGGAGGGGGGGGGAAGAAAGAATATTCTATCGAAACGACTTTATCCGATGACTTTCGTCTTTGCGTGTGTTTGCGTTTGTGTTTTTCTTTCTTTTTTTTTTTTAATCCGTACTACACGACAGACAGGTATTATACAATGTAGCCGATGTAAAATGCACAAACGATAAATTGTGATGTGGGTATATTAATATTCAACGCCGCCGCCGAGGTCGTGGCGCGTAAGACGGGTAAAAAGAAGAACGGAGTGAAAAAAAATTCAAACGGCAAGCTGCACGCGCGACTGGCGTGCGTGCATTAAAAGGAAATCAAATCATATTACGTTTTCGCGCGCACATAAATACCGTAGTTAGACAAAAAAAAAAAAAAAAAACCTTCTCGCCGATCGCTCTTTATACACTGCGCGCTCGAAAACCGCTATTTTCGCCGTGTATTCGTATTGCACGAGTACAACGGCAATAATATTATTATTATTATTTTTTATACACTCGTATAATACGGTGTGTACTACACATCGCGCGCGTGTACTGGTGCACTGGGTCGCCATAATCGGCGAACAAACATATTGTGCTACGGTAGTTTGCCGGCGAGAGAAAAAAAAAAAAAAAAGGCCGAGCGAAAAAACCACAAACCGGAGAAAAACAAATAAATCCTAACGCTTGGAAAAAAGATCCGAATTTTTTTTCCATCCTAATAATATTACCAATACTCATCGCCTATACATACGTATTATATACGTATATTCGTAGTACGTCACGCTAAAAATTATTATTTATTTTAATCCTTTGGACTCCGGGTAAACGTGATTTTAATAGTATACCGGACGAATCGTTTTACTGACATTTCTTTTTTCCTTTGCCCTTTTTTTTTTTTTTATAAACATTCGCATTTCGGTTTTATAGGCGGCGTGTAATAATGTTTCATTTAATGTAAATACGGTAATAATATTCGTATACCGCTGTTTTCGCTGTGGTATTAATAAAACCTACGGGGGTTTTTTTTTTCATTACAATATTATAACTATAAAAAAAATGAAATTAATAATTACAAAAAACCTATCGACACAGAGGCTGTGTTGGCGTCGTTTGCGCACAATGTGTACACTAGAGTGGCCCTTAGTTTACTTTTGTAATTTTTTTTTTTATTTTACAGTTTGTAGCTCTCCCTTATTTTTTGTTACCACCCTTAAAAATAATAACTGTAAAATTTGAAATGGCACCCCCGAGCTTATGAAGTTAATTAATTTTGTCATTTTTACGAAAAAAATGTAAATATTGTGCTATAACTTTTTTTCTTTCAACTAATAAACCTATAGCAGCAAATATCTAGTAGAAAATTTAGTGTAGATTTCAAAAATGTCGTTGTTGGCATTATTACATAGTTTGTTACCGACATAGTTGTATAAAAGATAAGTAAAAGCTCAAAAAAATCGGGCTTAATGATATTTTTTTATTATATTATTTATACACGTTAAACGGTTCAAAATAAAATTAAAATAACATAAAATATACAGTGAATACAATTTCTCAAAACTAAATTTCTTAGAATCACTCGAATGAATGTAATAATAATTTTAATCTAAACGTATAATCTAATCGCTTTCGGTCAATTACTGTGGTTACATCGCATAATATAAAGATAAATTTATAAATCCGTTCTTACATTTAATAACACCGTTTACTGTCGTTTAACGTATAGTGTTCGTTAAATAAGTTAAATTGTTGTTTCGTACTTACGTTCTATAGTGTTGTAAATATACTGTCGTATATTTTTTTTCGTTTAACAATGTCGTCTACATTTTTACGTGAGAGAATGTATTTAATTATTGATTGTTCAGAAAAAATATCGTGAAATAAATTACCTTCGAATTTACAAGCATTAAAGACTTTGTTTTTTTAATATGAGAGTTGCAAAATATTGAATCTTCGTAAAAGTGCTGGGTTAATTATTCGAGAAGTGCTAGTTATTTGGAAAATGGCGCGTATTCCGGTTCGTTTAAAAAAACATTGTGTATCTGAAGTAGAATCTTTACATGATAAGTGAAGAACACTTCAAAAACACGCCGAAAGAAATACAGCAAATCATAAAGAAAAAAAAAGAACCGTTTATTTCAAAATTTAACGATTTATTCGGTGTAGCCCATACAGATGCTCTAAAAATGATAAAACTCGAAACAGATAGACGATTTTTAATAAATTAACGAAAATAAGGACGTCTAGGATGTATGTATGGTATTGTTTATAAAAATATGCGAAAAGAAAAACTTTCCACGGAACGAAAAAATAAAGCAATTATAAATGAAAAGCAACGTGCTCAACCTGAAGGTAATTTTAAACGTTAGTTTATGATTTTATATTTGATTTATTATTATTATTATTTTTTTTTTTTATTCCTCTATATTATTTTAGATAATTTAATGGAAATACAATCATTTTCTACTGATAGTGACGTAGAGATAGACGATTTTTACAGTTCGTCGTCAAAACGAACAAGAGGACAGAACATTATTACCCCTAAACTCGTGTGTGCACTAGACAGTTGCAAAGTAAGTGATAGGGGGGCGATTCATATCAAGAATGTGATCTCCAAGATTTTGTTTTACATTAGGATGGTAAGCCTCTACATAATTTGGTTGGAAAAGACATTATTGATAGGCTTGCCATAGTAATATCTGGTGGTTGTATAGAAAACATTGAAGCATAGTTTAAAGCGCCTGTTGCTACAATGGCACCGTCTCAAGATTTACTTTCTATACAAAAATTGTACAATTATCGTTTAATTTATGTAAATATATCGCGAGTAGCACTACATAAATGTCGAAATCATTTGTGGTATCTAACTCCCGAAGCAGTTGCATTAGCATTTTTCAATACAAATATCTCTTTAGCATTTAAAAAAAAAAAATGATTAATAATTTAAATAACAAAATAGATTCCAACGGAATAATCTAACAACTAAATTTAAAAAAATCGGAAATTCCAGAATTTGTGAAAAACGAAATTGAATTTTTCGTCTCAAACGAAACTTTAGATTTTTTCAAAATGTTTAACTTGGACACAGAATTTCTTTTAAGTGACCTATCAATTTGGAATCAAAACTTAAACTATCGACATTCGTTGCAAATGGTATCTAAAACAAGAGTTGTCAACAATACAGCCGAAAGAAGTTAACGTAAAAACGAAACGTTAAAAAAAAAAATTGTAGTTAAACGTATTATGGCTAGGTGTCTAAGGAATACATAATTTGTTTTAAGTATTATTTTTAATCAATATATAGACAATTAAGTTGAAAAACCGACAAAATTAATCAACTACATGTGCCCGGGGATGCCACTTAAAGTTGAATAATTCATTTCAAATTTTGCAGTTAGTATTTTTTGAGGTATTCACAAAAAATATGGAGGTGCAACAAAAAAAGTTTAAAAATTTATTTTTAAGGGCCACCCTAGTGTACACGTCATTGCCAGTGTCTACGCTTCGTCGTTTGTAATAAAAAAAAAACAGTTCTCGTTTGTATGTATTCATTCGGCCCTTCTCTCTAATCACCTTCACTCCCCTATGCCATACGCGTCACTTCGCCGGCTACCGCCGACGCGAGTTACTTGTGGTTTACATGATACGCGCACGTATAATGTTTAAGGGGTATCGTATAGGCAACATTATTGTAACTTCGTTATGTATCACGTTTTAAAAACGGTGTTTTCACCGCAGAATTTGTTCGAAAATAATCTACGGGTAAAATTAATTTTGACATGAGGTGAACTCTTGATCCGGAATACACCATTGCGTTGTATAAATGTTTAAAAAAAAAAAAATAAATAATATCTCCTCTCCTTTTTGACAAATCGTGGTTGCGCCCAGTGCACCAATTGAAAAAAATATAAGAAATTGGATTTATAAAACTTAGAAAAAGATTAACGTCCCTCACAACTCAAACGCAACGTAACCCGCGAGAGAGCTTTTCCCACATTCTTCCCTTATACCAATTTTCAGCATAAATTAGCGATTGATAATTTACGATTATCCCCTACTTAATACCACTACTGCTATAGGCTAAACACATTTAAATATTTTTTTTAGATACGAAGTTTCTTTTTTTTCTGTCTGTAAACGACTTTTCTCCGAGAAATCTTGCTTTGATTATCAACTTAATAAGACATGATGGTTTTTCGTAGAAAACACGTAATGTGTAATCGGCGCAACGAAGAAGTCATTTTTTTTTTTTATATTTTCCTTGTATTCCCGATATAGGGGGGGGGGGAGGAGGAGAAACCCGTTTAAAATTTAAATTTTAATAAAAATAAATTTCGACGAAAATTCGAAGATATGTACCGTTGTACTTAAAATAAATACAGTAAAGGTACGCTATTATTTTTAAATAATTAATTGAGATACAGAGTACCCCTGCATTCTACCCTCTCCACAATTCGAACACTGGTCGTGGCACAATGTTCACACGAAACGGAGATAAAAGGAGAGTTCTTTTTAACCATTATGAAAACGATGATCCAAAAACAACCTCACTTTATCGTTTACACGAAATGGTGTATGGAAAACGGTACGATATAACGGATTTTCAACGAGTTTACAACGGATTTTCAACTTCGGACAGTATTTACGTCATTTTGTGTAAGAACGGACAAGAAAGCAATTTGTTTTTTCGCTGTATATACTGCAACAGCGTTAGGATTTTTTCCCTTTAATTTTCTCAAAATGGAATTTGCGCGACGTATCAAATCGCATCATATTATATTACATATTATTATGCCCTATTTTATATGTGGGTATGACATGTTCGATTTTCAATTTACTCGACCGGTGAAGCGATACGAATATTATTGTGGAAACAGATTTCAATATTTTGTTATCGAGTCTCGCGAATCGAGATCGACAATGCAACTTGTTTGAATTTTTTATTTTTTTAATTAAATCGCATGCAAATTCACGATAGGTGACTGAAATAATTTTGGTCGAAATCCGGGTTTTTTTTCTGGTATCAAACTACTAATGTATTATTGGTTATGAACACCAGCCGTAACATTTTTAATAAAAACCAATAGACTGCAGTAATGAAGTAGTTTCATCTATGGAACCAGATATATTACCAAATGTAATCGATTTATAATAGAAATGTCTTACGATAAAACCTGTTTAAAAATCGAAAACCAAAATTTTATTGATACCTTATCTGAAAATTATCCCCTCTCACTCAACCCCCCTCCCCGAATAATTCGATTTTAAGTATTATGTATTATTGAATTGGATTCGTAGACATTCTAATAACAGAATTGAAATTGTGTAATTGCATTTTCTAGACAAAGAAAAATTTTGAAAACATTTTGTACGTTTTATAGGCATTTTAATTTTACATAGTTGTTATTCAGTAGATAGTAAGTGAATATCATTGTTTGACGTAGCAGAAACGTTTGACATTTAAAGAGGAAGTTCTTTTTAGTTTGTACTTAATGGTAAAAACACAAAATTAGACTGTAATGTGGTAATTTTTATTTTGATAATTATTTTAACTTCTAAGATCACATTTTAAAGAAAATCACAAATACTATAGCTACGGCTATTAAAAAATTTACATTAAAAGAAAAAAAAAAATAATAATAATAATAAAAAATTCGGACCTATCGCATATAGGTATATAATTATTGTATTATTTTTGTTCGCGACAGACCGCACTGCCCTCGAGAACAATATAATAAATATTATAATATTATAATATTTAAACCAACCGGTTAATTATGATAATGTATCGAAATTTCGGTTTTACATTTCGATTACCGCGCGGCACATTTTAACGTGGAATAATTTACGAGCGTATTATTGTACAATTTAGCATAATATAAACGTTCTGGCCAGACTTCCCAAACTTTGTCGCGATTTTTTTTTATTTTATAACGGTGTGTATAGCGGTGTCCGTTCGTGAAGTTACCTATACTACATTTCAGCGAACAATGTAGTTATACATACAGTATATACATATATATGTATGTCGTATAGGCACCGGCCGACAAAAAAAAATAAAAAAAAAAAATAACCTCTCGATTCGCTGCGACCGAGACTTTGGAATCCGCGCACAATGTGGATTTGGGTTGATCGGTTTTTTTGATTTTTTTTTTTTTTTTGTCTGATTTTTTTATGGCCTTCGTACGAAACACAACGGCTAAAGTTCAACTGAGTGTTTCGCGAATAAAATATGCGTTACACTATTATACGGAACGACTAATGGTTTATGTATTAAAATAGTAATAACATAATATACATATTCATTATGCATATCATTTTTATGTATTGTGTAGTAGCGGTTTTTTTCTTCGTCTGCCGATTATTGATATTTACGATACCCCGGTAATTCGCGCACCGTACGGGTCATAAATATAAATGTATAGACGCTTCTCTAGAATTTTTCACTAAAACAATTTACTACAATAGTAATTGATTCGATAATTGTCGCGATGGCATTTGGAGACAATTTGACCGATTTCGAATGTACGAGTATGCGTGATAAATGCGAAGACACTGTTCGATTTCGGGCTGCAAACATTACAAATCTGGTTATTAAAATATTTTTGAAATTGTATTTATCACGTTTACACGCGACAGACATTAGTGCACATTGACTTAATTTACGTTTAAACGTATAGTCATTCCTAAAGGAAACGCGGATGTAATGCATTTTAAAATTTCGTACACTGTCAAATCGATTAAACACGTACAATATCTGGTATATGAATTATGAAATACTACCCCTAAACGGTAATTGGATTGTAGTTTTTCAGCAGGGATTGAATATCAAATCATAGAAGTATCGTTTTAATCATATTTGAAACGCATATTAATATTATAAATCCGCGACACTAATAACGCGCATTAATTTAGGAAAACTATTATTGCGTATTGAACTAGTGCGCATTCACAGTGGTATATTTGTGTGGGGGATATCGGGGAGACAAATCTCCCCCCTTGACATTTATTTTAGAAGCTATTATTAATAAGTATACCTATTTATTAAAGTCCAATTTCTTTGATTTTTAGTCGAAAAATATCAAAAATGAGTTGGTACCGCATGTAAATAAATAAAAAAAAAAAAAACTTGAACAACTGCAGGTACGTTCCCTTGTTAAAAACGAAACCTATCCAAACCACATTGATATAAAGGAGATTCTTCTTCTCGTTATATTCTGAGAATAGTACAAAATAAACTAATTAATCATAATAATTACTAAAACATTTCAATGGTTATTGATTAATCGAATTTTAAATTGCTTACAAAAAATATATGTATTTAAAATTAGATTTTTTTTTTTTTGTTTGTTTTAAGTCTAACATATCATACAATATTTCAAAATTAAAAATCTCCTTCCTTTGTTACAAAATCCTAAAACGGTACTGTGCCTTTACACTAATAATAAAACGAAATCGTAATAAACTACTACGTTATAGAAACATAATTAGTAAAAAAGAGCTAATACTGGGAATGGGAGCGGTCACTGTTGTAAGTGAGAAGTTGGAAACTATTATATCTGTAAGCAACGGAAAACCATTGCTTGACGAAAGACAATCCGAACGCAGTTCAATAATACATAATTTAATGTGCTGTAATTTTTTTTGCGATACCGTTTGAATTTGATTTCAAAACGCTTATAGAAAAAAAAAATCGTCGAAAATCAAAAAATTGTCAATCTAGACAGTTTGAGCTTTGAGAAAAGGTGCTACATGTAAAACTCGGAGCAAGTTCACTAGGAAAAAACGTGTCCACAGACTAAAAGAAAAAAAGAAAGAGAAAATAAACATCTTAGTAAAACCTATAGCTCCCACGTTACGCTCGAAATCTAAAATTATTAAAGAGAACTAATTCGAAAACGAACAAAAACGTTTTAAATTCGTGTTCAACAATAAAGAGATTAATCTTTGACCATAATATCATTTGCAGACTGTTGGCACTGCCAGACAATGTCGGGATCATCACAATGTAGCCGTTGCAAATTGGTTAGCGATTGAATATTGTTCGGGTTGTTATAATAATAATTATTCTATATTATCGTATCGCGAAAAAAAAAAAAAACAATTATTCAAATTGTTTATGTAATATTTTTTTATCGTATTGTACAATACGAGAGTATAATAATATTATTAATCGTTCAGATTTTTTAGCTACAGCAAAATTATTGTGACCTCGAAAATAATTCGTTACGTTTAACAGTAGATATTCAAGTAGCATACTTACTACCGTGAATAATTTAACATTATTGTACTGGTAAAAAATATTTTTAAAAAGACGAACATAATTATTCGCACAACAGGTGGGCCACTCTTGTAGGTGAGAAGTTGGGAATGTAGCATAATGAGGGGAATTTAATGTGTATCTCGATACGCAACGATTAATCATTGCTAACGAAAAACGATTCTGAATATTTACGATTTTTGTCGAAATTTGATAGTAAAATTATTCTAAAAAAAAAAATCTACATTACGCTCAATTCCTTTTTTCAACCACTAAATACATTTTATAATGAACCACCTATTCAATTTTCAACCATTTCTATTAGGTCTAACAATTTTATCCGTGGAGCGTACCAATCCGGTCCGTTTGTTATACTAAAGGGTCTGCGTAGTACTCGATCAGATTTTTTGATCAAAACATGGTTTACAAAAAAAAAATTCCATGCATCGTAGAGTGATCCAATTAGGATAATTGCTGTTTGTCTGCTCGAAAGAGAAAAATTATCTGCGAGATTTCGAATTTCCATTGTGTAACAAAACATTGAAAATCTCGAAAAAATTGTGTTAAATGGTTGAATTGGTCAAATTGTAATCATAATAAAATGATGGTTAAGCAGTGTAATTCTCAAAATCCAAACACAATGTGTCCCGCGAGAAGTTTTCTCCTTTCCGAGAGTAAAAAAAACGAAAATACCGAGACCGGACGCACTATCTGCGTGATAGAGTTTCGGGGCATCGGATTTTTTCACTGTAAAGCGTGCGTTTGATACCTAGCGAAAAAACAAAACGGGTCGCGTGCAGGGGCCTCTTACAAACGGTTTATGAAAACTACGCCGGATCGAAAATCCGTTGGTCTCTATAGTTATATTATATAGTTTAGATAAAGCGGTTATAAAACGTTTGAAATATACCGGGTAAAAAACCCAAACAAATTTCGAAATATATAATAATAATTATTGATAATTATATATTCCGAAATAGCGTGTGTAATAACGCGTAATATATTTTTGTATAAAAGTCGGTAAATATACCATATTTACAACGATACTTTGCCTCAGTTTTTTTTTTTTTTTTTATATATATATACATACTATAGGTATTTTTCAGTATATTATTTTCGACATTCTCGGCGGCCGTTGTCAGAAACTATCAATTTTATTTGATAAAAAAAACAAAAAAAAAAAAAATATCGTTGCATATCATTATTGTATACATTTCTTGTCGTAGTCGTCGTCGTCGTCGTCGTCGTCGTCGTCGTAGTTAACCGGTTTCGGCGTTACTTCAAAAATCGTACACTCACGTAAATAATATGTGTATAGTAATATACATGGATATACAATATACAATGTATACACACTGTGTACAATGCGTAATAGTCAATTTTCGTGTCCGGAATATGGTAATTTTCCGCATAATAAATTATCCGTTTGATTCTTCGCATCCATCAATGTCTGAAAACCAGTATGCATATTATTATTATTATTGTATTTATGTACAGGCACATGCATACATAATACGAGAGCACCTCGCCGTTAAACGAATATCGGTGAAAATTTAACGTTGTACAGGTTGGGTTAGGGCACTGTTGGTATACATACGGGTATAATGCCTCCCGAGATATTATTATTTTGATTCTTCGCCGTATTTTTTTTTTTTTTTTTAATAATATTACGGCCGTTTTGATCATTAGTCGAGAACAGAATGATGTTCAATAAAAAGTAAATGACAAAAAAACAGCACGCACTTACAATAGGTGCGATTTATTATGTATTTTATTGTAATCTTTTATAATGTTTTTGAACCCTATCGGCGCACACCAATTGCGGATAAACTTTGGATTTACAATAAACATTAAATATATATTATTTAGATAGTGCGATTCTTTTATCACGAACCGGCAATTTTCTCGGGGGATTTTAAGTGAATTCGATTTCTATTTTATTGTTATTTTTTTTTAATCTATACGGAATTGTTTAAGTTTTATTTCAATACCGTTTTAAATTTTTTACGCCTACGCTCTTCTCATACCTGCAACGGTTATCCGCTTTGGATTTTTAAATAGCGACCACCCTCCCCTCCACTTTATCCTTTCAATCAAAGATTCAAATAAAGATTATTATTCTAGAAATGTCGACATGCGTAACACTAACAACCTATTTGATTTACTGTTTATGCGTTTTAAGTTTACAATTGGAAATCGTACTGTGGCGATTTTATCGGAGGATTTTAAGTAAATTTCATTTCTGTTTTTTCCGTCGATTGTTGTACAGAATCGTTTAAGATCTTATTTTAAATGTTTAAATCCTATGTTCCTTATTATAATAAACTTTAAACGATAGTAGGTTATAAAAGTTTAGAACTTTGACCAAATGATTAGAGAAGTTAACGTATCTATAATATAAATTTATAACAATAGTAATGGATTACACGACAAGAGCTCTTTTCCGCTGCACACATCGTTGATTTTTTTTTTTTTACTTTTTAATCATCTGCATATAATATCTGTTTTCTAATATTGTTACCTATATTATATATATATACGAATTATGTATGACCATTATTTAACCGAGCACGTCTTGTAAATATTATATCGGGTTTGTTTTTTATTTTTACAAAGGTCAAGTTTTAGAGTGTAGAATAATTAAGTTATATTATAAAGGAGAACAAATTGATTTTTTTTCTCCGATGTATATAAAAGTTATTTTCTAGTTAAAATAACTAACGGAAATAGAAAACCGACGTTTCTATAATTCGATTACCTTTGTAACATATTTAATATTTATACTAGTACGCCCGGCCACTTTTTTTTCACGGATTTATATGTTTTATTATAAAAACAAATATAGCTGCACTACCCACGATACTTTATCCACGAATTCGTATGCAGTCACTGTTACATAACTGTACGGTTTAGTTTGTGTGTGTGTGTGTGTGTGTGTGTGTGTGTGTGTGTGTGTGTGTGTATGTGTGTAGGCTCCTATTTTGTTCCGCATTAGTGCGTACCGGAAGCTTCCAATCGCGAAGCTTTTCGACCTTTCAGAGAATCCTTCCACAGTTTAATTAACGGTTGCCCGGAGCTTCCCATTAACCTTCCCGGAAATACCTTATTTCGGTCCTCAAATCATTTTTTCTCACCTCCGAATTTGCACTGCAATATTTGTGTCCAAAATCGCCCGTCGTTTTCTTATGCGAATCTTATTTTACCATGACAGGTGTATAATTTGACTCGACATCTGTTTTCAATCTTCAAGGAATGTTGTAAATTTAAAAAAAATTGGATGTTGTGGGTTTGTCGCTTCCAACGCTATTTACGCATATTACGCTTCACAGAGAACCGTTATCCGTACGTTGAGTTATAATAATAGTTAGAGTTTTAGTTTTCGGGGATAGGTTTTTTTCAGTCAATAGTGGTTGGAGGGTTGACTTAGGAAAATGATCGGTAGTACTTAATTCTATAGTACTCTATCAGTATAATCACTCTGAGTTAGCCCATTTAGAAGTAATACATTAAAAAAAAAAAAATTAAGGATAACTTTTCATCCTCTATTTTACACTTTTGAGAGTAAATTTTCAAAAATCCTGTTACGCGTGTTTTTTAATTTTTAACATAGACCAAATACTAATTTTTGGAATTCCGTCTAAAAAGTGATGACATATTTTCCATCCCCTATTTATCCCTTAATAGGAGTGGAATTTTCAAAAATCTTTCCTTTGCAGATGACTACGGTATCATAAGTACTCTACCGTTAAAACTTCAAGTTTCTACCATCGATAGTTTAGGCTCTACATCGATTCTCTGTCAGTTAGCCAGGACAAAACCGCTTGTTTTTTATCACACCCGTAAAGATATTAGAACTCTCGTTAGACATTTTTGGTTATTATTATCATACCCACTTATACATTTATAAGAAATAACAGTTACGTACGTTGTTATTTTCGTATAACTTCTTAATACATAATATACCCACGCACTATGCATTTATGCCATTATATTTTACAATACGGCGAACACACGTGTAGGACGTCAGTACTTTTGTTAAATTATTTTTGTACATAACCCTATAGAGGAACTTTCGTTAAATATTTACAGAATGTTTATGAAAAAAAAGTACACTGAATGTTCAGATGAAAATTATCCGGGTATGATGTTGAGGAACGCTATAATTCGATAAAAAAAAAATAAAAAAAATAACCATTTCATTCACCGCAATAATTTTAACTTTTAGATTATATTATGAGCTCACGTGCGGATGAGAAGGTTGAACTGTTGTTTCAAAAAATATACAACACCTACCTAATTAATTATTAACCGGAAGTGTAATTTAGGATGATGACTACAAACGAGTCGTGATTAAAAAAAAACAAAATAAATATTATATTAATTATATTAATGTTACTTTTATACACTTGTCGATCGTTTTGAGGAAAATAATAGCTTTATGACAAAAAAAAAAAAAAAAAATGTATTGCCGTCTATTTTTGTCAAATTTTTCCTGAAAATAATGACTATTGCACTGTATATGTCTGTTATATTTACCTGTGTTTAATGTATATCTTCTTATAGAGTAAACTCCTACAATCCTTCCTCCCCAATAAACCTAAGGCGCCGGGGATGCAATTTTGTGTATGTTTGATGTCAGTATCGAGGATGATCCTTTTGATGGTCTCAACTTTCAAGTTTCACACACGGGTTTTAAATGTCCGTATAGATTCATCAAAGTTAGTAACTGGGTTACAATCTCTAAATACTAATATAGAAACTTTGTCGATCATGTGATTCCAAAAAGTTAGAACTTTCCACCCGCCATCTGTTTGTATGTTGGCGAAAATCTCGACAACTATTTTACCTATTTTGATGACGCTGTTTTTAGTCGATTCCTTATCGGTACTACCGACAGGTAAGGTAACAGGATACGTTTTATGTCCGTAAGAGATTAGTGGTAGTAGACTGTCATACAGGCAGGAATATTGGTGGACATGGTCAACGGATATCGAACGAATTGAATAAAACCAAAATACAATTGTAAAAAATACAATAAAATTCTGGTAAATTCATAACCACGGTGGAAAATAAAAATAAATGAAAAATCGGAACGACAACTGCAAGTTTGCCGGGGGAAAATTCGATTCTGGTGACGAAGCTCTCTACTGCTCACGGGTGTTTTTTTTCATACTAGTGTGTTTATTTTTGCAATTCTAAACACGTATTTATTTACCGTATTGTTTTAACGAACGTGTTCGTTTTATATTTACAGCTGATTATGTGCAGAATATATATATATGATAATCGATTCGTTCAAAATTCAAATTATTATCGAACATTGCAAATATGACATATGGTTTTTTTTTTTTTTTTTGGTAAATATTTTAGGTACTTTTGTCCGATAGAAAATTCGTCGTTAGGATGGTACACAGTTAGGTTAGGCTCTGTGCGCCATTTTTTTTTTTTTTTATTTTCATTGTTATTTAATTGTCAGAAACCGCAGTAAAATACAAACGTTGTGAACAAAACCGCTCGCGGTGTTATTTTAATTAGAATCTACTTATAATATTCCATTATGCGTCTGGACGCGCGGTTCGCGATAAGTCAATATCGTATTTATAATATACTGCAATACGCACGTGTGCAGACGTCCTCTTAATTGAATATTATTAACCAATTATTGTACGATACAATCATCCATCCAAACCTAAACACATATAATGTGTAGTGGTGGTTATATCTGGAAGGGTGGAGTCGAACCCGTTTGAGAACAAATTATCGACCCCCTCTATAGTTGACGTCACGGAAGTCCGAGAGACGGTTATCACTGATTATTGTCTCTTTTTTGCATAACCAGTCTATATGCTACAGTTTCGTATTGAAGATTTTTTTTTTTTTAATGGATGTGTGGAAGGAGGGATAGCTGAATGTACAAATATCATTGCAATTCAATGATACGCAGGTGACACGGCCGTCACGGACACGGATTCACAATCAGTTATATTACCTGAGCGGAGTACTGAGGCCCGTTCTTACAATGTCCGGTTAGCGCTCGCTGGTAAACGGTTAAATTCACCGCAAACCGGCCGGACCCCGTCGGTTAACTCACGGTTATCGCTTTACGGAGCGCCGCAAGCACCGGGCTAAGTGCGCTGCAGTGGCTATCGCGGAAATCCGGCGACAAAAATCACCGTCGGCTGAACATTTTCTTGTCGCGAGATTTCGGCGCTTCGTTATTGGCGTGTAACTAATGGGAACGATGCACAGTTCACAACCGAAACACGTCGATTCGCCACCGTTCGTACATGCGTTATAATTGTATTTGTAAACCACGGCCAAACACGTCAAATGAAAATCGTATTTAATAACGCGAGCAAAATATATCCGCGCAAAGCCGTCCGCATTAATTATTGTAAAGTACGATTGTCCGAACTCGGTTATTAGCTGTTGTAGTGTACGTATACAAAATATGTATATATATATATATATAGGTATATAGCGCGAAATATGTACAATTATACTATTAGTGTGATAAGTTTTTAACGCCGAATAGGTTATATGTTTTTATTATTATTTTGTTTTTTTTTTTGTTTTTTTGCTTTAACACTGTCAAATTCAGAGGGGAAGAAATGATTGTACCCCGTTTAGCCGCCCTCTGCGGTATACGCAATCGTAATGCACACCCACGGAAACAGTATTCGTGTACACGCCGCACAAAACGGCATTCAATATGAGAATTACACGTTTTTAACGTAAACTCGTACGCAAATAGAAAAATTCTTAACTAAATGTCGTCCTAGTATTTTGTAATATTACGAATCTACAATAACCTAACCTATAAATTATAACCGAACAAAAACCTGCGCGTAAATTAACATACTATTTATTGAATATATTATTATAATTAAAGACGAAATAATTATATTCGCGCAACACTCGAAATTAGATTCTAGAGACCGTGTTCGTTTATACACCTACCTATTATACCAAATCGAAACGGGACTGTTATCGACGACACGACGGTGTTTTAGACATAGTCGATATATTACCCACCTATATTTATATAGGTTTGTTAGGTTTGTTAAGTGCACGAGTTTCCAAGTGCAGCAAATGTAAAATAATATGTAAATGCTCGCGGGTTCACCAAAGGCCGTACACAGATAAAGGACGAATTAATATTATAATAATTAATTACGGTCGGGGGCTAGGTCGGGCCGGCGGGTATACGGTTCAACGGACCCGCCGATGATGGGTCAGACGCGGAACTGACGATTACGAATTATATTTAAAAAGATTAACGTATGTATTATGCAGAGTCCGAAATTTCATGTTACAGTCAAATTATCCACGTAATACTAATTATTATTTTTTTTTTTTTCGAAAAATGCCTTGGACGGAAAAAATTGTTTAAACACATTCGTTCTAAAATGTTACGCTGGCCTTATTTTCCGAACCCTTGTCTATGACCTGCAACCAATACCCGCTATTCTATTATCTTTATTCTTTCATCAAAAAGTGACAAATTTATGGAAATTAAAAAGACCAGACCGCGAGTAAACACGGAATTATAGTTTAAATCCATTTTGGCGTTGAAATTTTCAATTTCCGTCTATCCGTTCACGGGATATACCACTTTTAAGTTTAAATTAATCCCGTTTGCGTCACTGGCGAGACGATCAATAAAGTTTTCTAATATATGTGTGTATATATATATACATAATATATGCACTTTTGAATTCACCCCGCGAAACCTAATTATTTGTATTATAATTTTACCACGGTATATATTTTTTTTATGGGAAACACTTTTTTGGGTATTTACCCATAAAAAAAAAAAAAAAAAAAAAAAACCCCGTTAGCAAAAAGTTTACGTATTCCGATAGAGTTTTTAGATAGGTATTTAATTAAACTCTAGATATACACCGTATAAGTAATTATTCAGAATCCTCAGTTCGATACTCATAATAATCACGAGAAACAAAAAATAAATCGAGAGGAAGCGGTTCCGTTACTCGCGGAGTCGTCAACAATTTAATTCCGCGAGATTTTGTCGAAATTATTTTTTATAACATTTTGCGTACAATTCGCTCATGTTTCCAGACCGATTTTTATTTATTTTTTTGTTAATTTCCTGTTGTCAAACGAAAAATATTTCCGAAAATGTTTATTTTCATAAAATATATTCCATTTTGACCTATATAGAGTATAGTATATATTATTTAAAGTTTCGATAAAACGCACGAATAGGAAATATAATATCCGTAAAATTTCAACGCATTTGCATCGGAATATTAATTTAAATAATTACAAATTTAGCAATTCAGTTTAAATCTTAAACGCAACAACAAACCGTTGCAAACGAACAATGATTCTGAACGTAGTTCAGTTAAACATTTTTTGGTAATATTAACTGATGAATTAATCAATTAGTTTAACGATTTTGCAAGTATTAATATTTTGTGCCAGGACTTGGGAGATCAGTAGCCAAAAGTTTAATTAATTTTCGATCGACTAGTGGGCGATCGACCGACCGACCGCAATCCGTTGACTGAAGACGGCCGAAATTTTTAAGCCCTGCGATTTTTGATTTATCGAAACTTTGTAAAAAGTAATTAGTTACAACGATTGATTTTCAGGTAGTGAATCGATAATTTCAAAATCAATTGAAAAAAAAAGACAAAAAAAAAAAAAAACAGTCTGATTAATGAACGAAATGGTTAATACGATAACGGGGGTTAATTGTGAAGCAAGAATTGATTCGGTAGTATGGAAAGTGCATAGAGGAGAGTCGTTGATTGATTGCTTGTAGGAATTAAACGAGACCAGAATATGTCCTATTCTTAAGCGTAAGAAATATGAAATTGTTTCCTACTAATTTTTATATAACAGAATCAATAACGCTTGGAGAGTAATATTCTCACACCGCGTAGCAAAATTAAGAGGTAGATTAGTCCATTCGTTAAACCGCATCGTGTCAATATGGGTTCTAAGTATACAAGGTGATTCATTTAAGTAGGTATACACTCATTATCATTTGTGTGGTGGTACGGCGCGCGGCGCGTTAATAACGCACCACTACTCTCCTCCAACCTAATCTTAAAAGTGGAATATCTCGTCGACGGTATGACGGAAATAAAAAATGTCAACATTAATATTCATCTTAACTAATATACTCTATAATCTGTTTATGGAGTTTTTAATATTGGTTGCCGTTTGAAAATCAAAAGTGGGTATAGTGGTTTTACCCCGGAAAATAAGGGCGACGAAAAATAACATAGATATAAAATTAGGGAGCCGTATGTTTATTAAATTTTCTAGAAAAAAAATCCCCCCAAAAAAGTTAATATTTTCCGAGATAATGAGTGTATTTACTTAAATGGATCACACGGTGTAACAAAAATCGGTCCATGACATTAGAACGGGGAAAAGACAGTGTAAAAACAAAGTGAATTAGGCCGATAAGTCAGAAACTTAGTGTTGCCGTTTTGGCTAAGAAACATAAAACAAACCATGCATGAAATTAGAAATAGTGAATGGCATTGCACATAATTTCTATTATAAATACGAGATTAAAAGATATATGTATATATATCTCCGATAAAGTTCCCAGGAAGTAAAAAATGGATGGATCTTACAAATCTGCAAAGCTATTGGTACACTGTCAGGCAACAGTAAAGGCTCGCAAAAGCTATATGCGATCGTGTATACAAATCTTGTGAAATTTAATGTGGGCAATTTATATTGAAACTTTTTACCCAAACGACATTATTATAAAATAGATGAGCCGATGACACAAATCGTAAGAACCTACAAGGTTTTAAATTTATGGCACTTTATTATTTTTTTGGTTTGACATTAAATCTATAGAAAAGTACTATAAAAAATGTGCAGGTAATACAATGAGTTTAAATGTATCGTTTTAAAATATCTTTTTTTTATGCTTATTTATATAGTTTTCATAAAAAAAAAAAATAATAATTAAATAAAAAATGGTTTTTATTAAATTAATTTTTGCTTTTTTAAATGCTTATTTCGGCACTTAGCCGTCTAGTTAAGATTTTTAATGACTTAATTTTTTTTTTAATAAATATTTTTAAGAAGCCGTGTTACGGCCCGTATTTAAGGAGTTGCCTATAGGCAATTTGCTCAATTCAAATATATTTATACTCACTTTAATTACATTTACAAGCAGCCCCATGTTATTGTCGCAAATATTAATTATTGTGTAATCACGATACGAAGAAAAATTACGGAAAAACGTTGTCGCGTGAGAAAAAAACTAAATACTCGGGCTATTATAGACTTAATTAAGAAATTAAATTTGCATCATAAAATAAAGAGAACATGCACTGGGAAACATTAGTTTAACATTTAGTTTTTTGATATAATTACTAAGAAAATATTGATTCGTGTATAAAAAACTTGAAATTTTGGTACATTAGTATTATTTTAGATTTCAAGCAGAGCGAGAAATGTGTTGGATTTACAATGATGTTTACTTTTTTTTCTGTAAACAACTTTTCTACCAAAAATTTTGCTCCAATTTTCAATTATAGTACTTTTTCTGAGAGGAAATCTGATTAGATTGGTATTTTGAAAGGGTCATTTTTTGATTTTCCTGACAGATGAGAAAATCCGGACGAAAAATGGGAAAATTGGAACAACATTAAACAAATATTATTAAATAATAAAATAATAAAGTAAAAAAATATTATGCACATATATTTTTGATAAAGCATCATTATTAATCGAACTCCGCTCAGAATCGTCTTTCGTTAGCAACGGTTAATCGTTGCATACAGATATACCAACATTCAGTTTTCCATCTACCTTCCAAACTTCTCATCTATAACAATGGCCCGTCCATCTTGCGAAGTGTGTCCGTCTTTTTTTTTTTATTTGTGTTATTGAAAAACTAAAACCAACGCTGTACAGTGAAAGTTCTTTTTTTACGGTGAAAATTTGGTTCTTAAACTAGATTTATAGCCAGATGAGTATTTTTAACCCGCGTAAACCAGTTACTAAATACTTAAATTATTGGACGTTCTTTGAAGTTTTTTGTTAATTGTACGTACTACATTTCCAATACTCGATAATATTACAACGATGCGATAACGTGCAATTCATAATATTATAATTATGGTTAGGAGTTAAATAACGAGGTAACTTCAAGACGTTCGAATAATTGAATTAGGTGTACGCACGAAAAATAAAATAAAAGGACACTTGAAATATAATATCTATTAAGCCGTACTCACAATAATCATCACGACCCTTTTTGTCGAATAATTGAAACGCCTAAAAGACTGCGCGTTGTTTTATAAACGTCTTGGCTAATTTTCACGTAAATAACTCACGTTCCGCTGTGCCGCAGCGGTGTCGCAGTCAGTGTAGGCAACCGTATACGAATTTACATTGCGTCCGTGAGTGTATTATTTACTCGGTATTTATTTAAATGTAAACGAAAAGGTTAAAAACAAGGCGCCCCAGTATGATGGGGACGGGTGCAGCCACTGTTATTAGGTAATTTAACGTATATCTGTTAGCAACGATTAACCGTTGCTAACGAAAAAACGATTCTGAGCGGAATGCAGTTGATAGTGATGCTATCCCAACAATATATATGTCATACTGTGGTAAAATAATTAAATAAGCGTTATACATTTGCTTTAATAATATTTGTTTAATATTCCACGGATTTTCCCGTTTTTCCCATGTTTTTTCCCGGTTTTTCACATTTGCTGGGACAAACATTGGGGAAATCAAAAAATGATCTCCCTAAAGTACGGTTATGTTAGGCAGGTGCCGGTAGAAAATTTGTCCATAGAAAAAAGGTGTTTTCATATTTCAAAACAAAATCAAATAGAAATCACTACAAAGAAAACCCGTCGACTAACTCAACGAAGAGAAAAACATTATTACATAATATTACTATCACGATTCGTAGTACTCTATAGATTATGTCATTTCGTTAAAATATTTTATTAAGTTATAAAAACTAAAAACTTGTGCAACAACACAGGTACTCGGTAACAACGCCAACAGCGTCGGACAGCAATAATAGCCTGTAGCAATATAAATATTATATAGTTTTTATATTTTTAATAATATTCATAATTTAAAAAAAAAAAAATCTCAAGTTGATTTAAGGGTCGGAGACGAACTGGTATCATAGATACTGAATGAAAATTGCATGGGATAGATGGGGTACACAATTCTTTAACGTTTAAACGTATATTATTCGAATAGATAAAAATTGTATTAAAAAATCCAAGGGGCCCCGCTATCGACACCACTCCACTTTCTTCAAATCCGTTACACTGTAGCTCATGCATACTAGTGCACTCGGTTTTTCTTAGCAAATAATAAATAAATCGCTGCGAACGAAATACGATTCACAGTGAGTGGAGCTCGCTTGATAAAGGGATTGGTGACGGTTATACAAATGATCTCCAAATTTTTAAAATTTGAAAATTAATTATTACATTTCGATAATCGCCTCATTGATTAGTCTTTTCGATTAATCTACTGGCCGAAACCTGTTAAAGAAGAAGGAGTATGACCGTTTTTACCGATAAATATGAAGTTTTAGATCGAAAAGGCAGGAAAAACTGTAGGATTACGTTTGATGGATTTCAAATTTAAAAACGTATTATGATTCCATTAGTTTCTTAACTGGGATTCGTTTGAAATATTTTTTTTAAAATTAAATTAATTTTTTTTTTTTTTATCATAAATAAAAGGCGAAATGTTCTAAGTACATTTTTGAACTCTTTTCAAAATTACGATCAAATTTGTTTTCCAATGAAAAAAATCACGTTTCCAACATATTATTGTCCCGATGAAAAAACCTAAAGAAATATACCTAAGTAGCTAATCGATTTTTAAAATTGAAATCCGTCACGATTCGTACAGTTCTATCAGGACTTTAGGTCTACGCCGATCTAAAAATGTGCTGTAAAGTCGCCAATCCCGTTAATTGGTTTTTTTTTTTCCCCCGGTGATTATTTAGGCCGGCTTTTTTTTCTTTTACGCATTGTAAGTGACCGTATAAAGTTTAAAAATATTATATAGCATGACGTATACACGCTGCACGGGTGTCTGCGTTTGTTTTACACGTGTAATCACGTCGAGTATTCCTGCGTGTATTAATCGAATCGAATTCGTTAAAACGAGAGAAAACACCATAATATAATAATATGCGACGACCGCTGTGTTACACGTCTACAGCCTGCTATTTTATTATTATTATTATTATTATTATGATTATGTTGTACAACTCGTTAATTCGGAATCTCGGCAGACATCTACGCGACACGCGAGTTGATATTATAATATTGCGTAGACATAAAAATCAGCGTGCATACCGACCCCGTTCCCATAAGGGAAATCCGTCGGCCGACAGCCAGACGGTCGCGCGGCGCGGCGGTGCGCTTTATTTATCATCAACGTCCCCTCTTTGCGGCGCGCGGCGCTCTTCGCGCGTCAACCGTGCGGCCGCGAGACGGACAGAGGTGAAAGGGAGAAAACTTTTAACGAAGTCCCCGGGAAAACCGTCGGGGGAAAACGACCGTGTGAATGAAAACAGAAAATAAAAAAAAAAAAAAACAAAAAATAACCGTTATCGTCACCGAGTAGGTTTTCGACAAAAAAGGAAACTAATTTTAACGTCGGCGCCGATGGTTTCCCGTGCGTCCGGACGCCCGGGGACGAATCGAAGGCGCACAGTGGTCATTCGACTGCGGCGCAGTACGCGTAACACTTTGCCCCTTCGGGAACGCGTTACATACTTCACTACGTGAACACACGGATACATATTTATACATATATAACCAACAGAAATACGCATTTATTTCTTATGGTCTCGGGAAAAAAATCCAAATCCAAAAAAAGTGTAATTTCAAAAAAGTTAAATTACTTCACGATCAAAAAAAAAAAAAAAATCTCCTGCTGAGTTGTACACTAGCAGGCGTGTGAAATGTTATATTACATTAGGTAATGAAAAAATCCGGAAGTCAGGATGAAGGTGTGGGATTTATACCTTATTATTATGCTAATTAAAGTGGTTTTTTTTCCCAACAGAAATCAACAATAGTTCGAGTTAAATTGCTACGGAAAATAAAAATTGTATTTAAAATACGTACCAAATAAAAACTAATCAAACTCGAAAATGTCAAATGTCTATAAATAGCTCGAAAATCTCCAAAATGGTTTAGAAATGTTAACACGTCATAAAAAGCAATAATATAATTATTCTGTAAAAACGTCAGGTCTCATTGATTATTTTTTCCCAAATTGTAACAAAAAAAAAAAACAAAACAAAATCGAAAATAATAATGAAACCGTTAATGCCGTAAAGTTCCCCGTTTTTCCAACGTTTTTTTCCAAAGCGTTAAGAAAACTACAAAGAAATTTAAAAGATAACTACATTGCTACACCAACTAGATAAAATTGACTATCCAAAAAGACGCGACACTAGAAATTCGGTACAAGATCCCCGGTATCGAAACAATTAAAAATAACGAAATCTGTAAATACGTGTCCGGTTTTTCCTAATGAATACGATAACCGGTAAAAAACGAACCTGCTCTCAAATGTCCCGATTAGATCCGAAACGTGACAAAAAAAAAAAAATCGTAAAAGCGACACGTTCCGTCCGGAATCTTATAAACGACGCTCGGCGTTTTCGTAAATATTAAAGAGAAACGGATAGGCCACTCTTATGACAATATTATTGTTAGTGAGGCGATGTCCCCACTCCACCCCGGAGGTGCGGCGAACAGACGCGATTCACGTCGTTCGCCATTATTATCGTACAGATAAAACGCGTAGATTCGTGAAGTTCGGAGTAACAGTACCCGGTCCCTCTCGGAACACCGACAGGACACGGATAGCCCGTCCATTCGATGCCTGCGAGTGTTTCCGGACGGAAATGGAAAACGGACAATAGCGCGCGCACGGTTTCGCGGGTCCTCGCGGGCGTCCGTTCGTCGCGCGGACGCAACGTCGGCCGCGTCGAGCGTGCCGGCCGGGCGCGGCGGCGCGGTCGGCGCACAGCCAGTATTAACAGGCGCGCAACGTCCGCGGCCCTCCCCCCCCCGGTGCTGCACCGGTGCAGCGATGACGGCCGCGGCGGCGTAACGTTTCTCGCGGGCAAACTACTCGGGTTTTATAGCCTCGCCGACGGAAGGGTACGCGTGGTACAATAACACTGATAACGATAACGGCGCGTCGTCGTCGCGGGCTACTCGCGGAAAACGCGCACACCTCGCCGCCGCGGTTTCTCTCTCGGTCTTTATTGTTTATAAACGCGCCCGGCACGCTATACCCGGTGTGCGTGTGTGTGCGTGTGTGTGTGCGTGCGTGTGTGCGTGTGTTTGTGTGTGTGTGTTTGTGTGTGTGTGTGTGTGTGTGTGTGTGTGTTTGTCATATACAAAGGTGTATTATATTATAGGGCCGCGCGGCGTCGGCAATGTATATACATACGCGTACGCAGCGGCGGTATTATTATTATTACACCGGTATAGGTTACCAAGCCGACCAGTTTAAATTCTGAGCGATAAAATCGCGGACGTCTTCGACAATATAAATTTTATTACGTAAGTTCCCTGCCGCCGCCGGTATTTATTTATACCTTACAATATAAACATGACGTACGTGTATGCGTACACACAAACACACGCGCGCGCAGTCGGTGCAACGGTGCAAAATGTGCATCGGCGAAAAGCATGACGCGGCGGCGGAGTACGGGGAGAAGGAGGAGAAGTCGGTTCGGCGGCGTCGACTGCCGCAGCAGTGTGTGTGTGTGTGTGCGCGCGCGCGCGCGCGCGTATATATACTGCCACCGTCGTCGTATATAATATATAAAATAGTAGCCGCGCGCCGGCAGTGGCGGAGGAGACGGGCTTTTGCCTCGGTGGTGCGTGTGTACATATACGTGACGGATAGGCTTTTTTTTTTTCATTTTTTTTTTCCTTTTTTTTTTTTTTTACGACCGGACCATTAAAAACGTACCCTGGGTCCCCCGCGCCGCGCCGGTACAACCGACCCCTGTTTTTCGCGAAACGTCTCCCGCGTCTCTCTTGTCGTCGCCGCCGCCATAGTCGTCACCCGAGCTTTTACTGCCCGATTACGGTCCCGCGGCGCCCTAGCCACTGCACGCACGTGTTCGTAAAATAATAATAATAATAATAATCGTAAGATGTATACGAGCTGTACGGCGGCGAAGGCGGGTACCTTATGTCTGGGTGTGTACAGCGCGGCACTATTGTAATCCACTCCGCTCTCCCTTACGCCCTCCCCACTCGTTCTCACACCTTCTCACTCTCTCTCTTTCCTTTCTGTCTCTCTCTCTCTCTCTCTCTCTCTGTCTTCCTGTACGCACCGCCGCTGCCGCGTAGAGAGAATAGGATGTTTACACTTTTTCGAGAACGGTTCGCGTACGACGTTTGTCGAATCTCGATTTCGAAGAGAGACCGGCCGAGTCGGAGGCCGAAGAGCGTTTTAGACGGATTGAGAAGAAAGCCGTTTCGGGAGAAAAATAAAT